TGCCTCCATCCTAACACACAATTTGGATTTTACTGTCTTGGTATATATTATACTTATTATATCTTCGATAATATTATCTGCTTATCGATATGCATTTATTTATTTTTATCTTTATGAATTAACAATTAATGAATATCTGAATCCGATTAAGTTTCTATTTTTAAATACTATTATATGGGGACGTTCAGGATTTGTAGAGGAGTGACAGAGCTGTAAATGACGGTCCCTTCCTTGTATAATAACGAAAGATTTATTCCCTCGTCACACTAGTAGAATATGTATGTACACGATTTGTAAATCGAGTATATGTAAGCCACACCCGCGTGCCGGTGTATCGCTGGATTTACTGAATTCTGTTTTATTCGAATAATGCGCCCGATTGCGCGGCGCTTCGCAAAATACGCCTTTATCGGCGTGTAAAATTGAGATTTTTCTTATGGTACGCTATGTGCAGCTCGGTGAGCGTTACCTGGGTCGAGTCGTACGGTTCTTCTGGCTCGGGTCTGCTCTCTTCGGAGATGGACCAGCCCGCGGAGTTTGAGTTGCCTGGTCTAGACAGGCCCGCGTCCGGCCGGGCAGCCATTTTGTAGGCGCGCCTACGGTCGCCACATGCTATAACAAATATTAATTTCATTGCAACTGTTTCAATGAAAAATTTATGTTTAGGAAGATACACAGTTTTAGATATTGGGAAAAGTACGGGCAAACTGACAAAGTGAAGAGAATTTTATGAATGTTTTGCATTGACACAGGAGCGAGTGGGAAATTATCAATATTAATATAAATATTAATATTTTGTTATAATTTACTGGCGTCAAATATTTCTCGATGTAAATTTATTATAGCTTATCTCTGTATCATTGAAAAATATGTATATAGGTATATTGCCATAAAAAATGTATATACAATTTATATTGTCTATGTTAATGCTACTAAACAAAATAAAAATACGAATAGAATTTACTTTATCGGGAACATTAATTTTGTTAGTGTTTGCTGTCTATTTTTGCAATTAAATTATAACTCACAATTAGTTATAAGGAAGTTATGAGGAACTTTATTGAGATTGATTTCTTTCAGGTGTTTTATCATCTGACGGTTATTGTAAACCATTTGATCAGGACGGTACTGGGTATATGCGTAGTGACACGACTGCCGTAATATATCTGCAAAAAGCAAAGGATGCAAGACGAAGATATGCAACCTTGGTACACAGTAAAAACAATTGCGACGGCTTTACACAAGAAGGTATTACTTATCCGTCGACTGAAAAACAAACACTATTGTTGAAAGAATTTTATGAGGAATGCGGCATTTCACCCGCTGAATTATCTTATATGGAGGCACATGCAACTGGCACCATAGTCGGTGATCCCGTAGAAGTCACCGCCATTGATCAAGCTTTATGCTCTAAAAGAGAAGCTACTCTATTAATGGGCTCGGTAAAATCAAACCTTGGACATTCTGAAGGAGCTAGTGGTTTTTGCCAAATTGCAAAGGTGCGATAAAATACTTTAACATAACATTGTAACTTATAGTAATTGCACAATTATAATTACTTAGCAAAAATCTTCTTTTGAAGGTATTGTTGGCGATGGAAAGTGGTATAATTACACCTACTATACATTTTAAACAACCACGAAAAAATCTGACGGCCATTCTCGAAGGAAGAATAAAGGTTGTCACTGAATTAACCAAATGGAAAGGTGGTTATGTTGGTATTAATTCCTTTGGATTTGGCGGTGGCAATTGCCATATATTACTGAAGTCAAATCCTAAACAAAAAGTTAATAATGGAGCGCCGAACGATGACTTACCTAGACTTGTAATCGTGTCAGGACGCACGGAAGAAGCGGTTAAAGTCATTTTAGATGATGTAAGTAAATATTATATTTTATTTAGCGGTTTTTTGCGGTCAAAACACTCATTAAAAATCAATCGCAGTATTCGATAGTCAAAGTTGGTAAAATTACTTGTTTGAAGTAATAAAAAAAATTCGATTTTAATTTTCCACACAGAACAAAACTATTTAAAAAACAATAGCTTTTTTATGCAACGTACAAATATTTCTTCTTTCTGAATGCAGGTACGATGTCGACCTATAGATGCAGAGTATATAACACTACTGCATCACATTCATAGCGATG